GCACATGCTGTGTTCTGTAGTGCCCTCAGCTAGGAAGGGCCCTCCATGGTGATCTAGGCCAGTGCTTCTCAAACCTTAGCAAGAGGAGGTTGGAATCACCTGGAGGGGTGTGAAGACGAAGATGTCTGAGCCCCCACCCAAGACTTTTTAATCCAATATGTCTGGGGTGGAGCTCAAGAATGTGCATTTCTAATGAATAGCGCTCAATCTTCTGGATCTAAGACCATTCCCCAGCTCCTGCATTCAATTTTGTGACCAAATGTCTATCTGATTCTGAAAGATCTTTGGGAAGAACTACCTTTGCTATTTCGTCTTCACAACATTAGCCCCTTTAATCTTGATGACACCTCTGAGATAGATACCATGAATTTCCTCAAAGATGCTGAGACCCACAAAGGTCATCTGACCATCTAATGACAACAAACAATAAGAGTGAACACTCCCATAGAACTAAGTGTCAAACATTGTTCTATATGTTTTAAATTATTTAATCCTCACCACAGTACTATAAAGTATGTACTATTGTTATAATCCCCATTCTACAGGTAACAAATTAAGGTACAGAGAGGTTAAGTGACTTGCTCAAGGTCACACAGGATTAAGTGGCAGAGTTGGGATTCAAACCTAACAGTTCTGGTTCAGTACTGTTAGCCACTGTGAAACTCAGGCTTTTATTTATCCCATCTATCCACCCATCCATCCATCCATCCATCCATCCATCTATCCATCCATCCATCCATCCATCCATCTACCCATGCACCCACCCACCTATCCATCTACCTATCCATCCATCCATTTAATATACATATATTAGCCTACTATGAGCCAGGCACTAAGCTAGTGCATAAAAGATGCATAAAACACGGTCCCTGTCCTTGAGCTCATAGTCCTTGGAGCACAGTGGATCAGCCATCTTAATTTGCACCCCATGCATTCTATGAGGACATTTGAGCCAGTGAAAAAAAGATCCAGTGTCCTCCGGATAGGGATCCAGGCAGTGTGGCCCTCTCAGGGCTTCTGGGTCTGTCCACAGGGTTGTCCAAATGGGTTCCATATACATTCTCATGTAATGGGCCCGTATTTCCTTTCCTTGTGAGAGTAGAGTTGCTCTCTAATAAACAAGTGTTATCATAATCATAATCATGGCCAAACATTTTGTGTATTTGTGGAGTGACAGGAGGCCGGCCTGGGCCTAGGGCACGACTGGGCTCCTGATCATAGCAGAGTCCGGACCTGGCTCCTCTGGCTGTGGCTCTAATCTCACTGTTAATGGGGCCCAGGGGAAGGCCCAGCCAGGGCTGGAGCAAACACTCTCTCCCCCCATCACCCGGGGGCTCAGGAAGCCACACCAACCCTCACCTGTTGAAGGCTTTCACCAATTAGCCTCCCCTTCTTGGGCCCAGGCAGCCCTGGCATCTCTTCCCTACATGTCTACCTCCCAGGTCTGCAGGCCCTGGGGACCCTCCCTCCTCCTGCTTCAGGTACTGTAATTAGCTGGTGGTTTCAGCTCAGACCCAGCAACGCATACCGTGTTTGCAGTGCATGCTGTGGTCGAGAGGCATGCTAGGGCCACGCCCTGCAGCCATTCTACCCTTGTTCCAGGCAGGATTTCTATACACGAAAAATCAACATGAAATATCTTACACTGAAGTGCTTCCCAGCTCACCAGGTGCCTTCGCTCCTACAAGCTTACCCACTCTATAGCCAAGGAAAGTCAGATTAGGGAACAGTAGGAACAAGTTGTGCAATTGGGAAGCAGCTGAGCTGCCATTTGAACCCAAGTTTTTCCACTGTTTCAATCTTAAAAATCCCTCCCCCATCACCCCAGCCTCGAGGCAACAAAGAGCAGGGCCACCTGCTGCCACAGCTGGGGGACCTCAGCAATCATGCAGACCTGGATGGTGCTTGGTCAAAGGCCTCAGTGGCACCTGTATCACATTCAAAGAGAAAAGCCAAGCCATGGGGAAACTTAGGGAGAAAGCTGCCATTGTCCCAGATCTCACCTGGGCTTCTTGCTGCATGAGGTTCTGCAGAGGAAGACCGTCACAGGCCCCTGACTTTCTGGTGAGTGAATGATGTCACTGGCCAAATGTATACTCTCCTTTTGTACATGGCTGTTGATGTGCTTGTGTTGTGCTCAGCCGAGGGGAAGAATTGTATTCAGTAATCCTGACCACTCAGAAATGCAATTTTGGGAGCTGAGAGGCCTGAAGCCTCCTCGGGCTAATGAGGCCTATGTTTGTGGCAGAGGTGGTGGGGAACTGTGAAACATGGACTTCCTTTCTCCCTGCCTCAGTGTCCCCACCCTGTGCAGTGTGAACAACCATTCAGCCATCTCTACTGGGAAAATGGATCATAACGGGCGATGTACAGACTTGGCGATGGCAGAGGTCCCTGCAGCACAGTTTAGGCCTGAGAAAGTCGGGGATGCGAAATCCTTGTGAACCAGAGCGGGAACATTCAAGGGCCACGAGGACGCCTAGCACCCCAGGCTGCCCTCGGAAGGCCTGGCAGGTTGCCGTGGTCATATCCAGCAGGGACAGGGCATCTTCTCCCCTTTGCCTGGATTTGTCCTTCCTCTCTTCTACTCCTCCCTTTAACTCTTTGCCTCCTGTCTCCTTTGCCATCTCCTTATTTAGGGAAGAATGGTAAAGATCAGACTAAATCTTGAATACTCCCTTGTAAATTTGACTCCTATAATTTTTTGTTTGTTTGTTTAGTAGAGACAGGGTTGGTCTCGAACTCCTGACTTCAGATGATCTGCCTGCCTCTGGCGGGATTACAGGCATGAGCCACCATGCCTGGCCAATAATTTAATTTTTCTTTTTCTTTTCTTTTCTTTTCTTTTCTTTTTTTTTTTTTTAAAGGGAAGGGGAGAGAGTTGTGTTTGGCCTGGGCTGGTGGACCAGGCCATGCAAGAGAGGCCAGAGGCTATCAAAGGCCTGGAGAGCAGACGTCTGCTCTGCACGAGGCCTGCTCGGGCTTGCCCATGCTCTCCCCATTTTTACTCTGGCTGTCCCTACCCTGTAGGAAGATGGGGAACGGTCTGAGAGGCTTCCGATGTTCAGCAGGTTGCCTTCTTTGGAGGGACAGTGCCCGCACCTCTTCTGGGAGGGAGTGGAGGAGCCTGCTGGGGCCGGGTGAACACCTGTGGCCTGATTTCACACTCCCTGGCAAGAGCCTGCCTGCTGTTCTCCAGATGCCCTTTCCTTTGCCCAGATTGAAGCCTTTAAAAAAGTGACACCTTGTATTTTATTTCACCCCTTTCTCTGCAAAGTCCAAAGACGTTTACAGGCACGAGTGCAATAGGCTTTATGGTAGCCCATCAAAAAGCAGGGATTGTTTCCGTCATCTTTATAGAGCAGAAAATAAAAGCACAGGAAAATGGAGTAACTCTTCTGAGACCACATAGTCCTTCCAAGACACAGTGGAAAATCTACCCCAGAGGGGTGTGTGCCAGACCCAAGCTGCTTGTGGGGAGTGCTAAGGGGTTTTCACCGGCTACTGCCAGGGTCTTCACCACTCCCCAGCACCACAGAGCCCAGGTGAGACCCTCTGTTTCATGGGGGACCTGATGGCCTTGTATAAAAAGGGGAGATTCCACTGGAAATACAGTGGGGGAACTGGCCCCAAAGCTTCCTGACTTCTGAACTTATGCTTCCTGGAGTCAGGAGCAAGTGAGTCAGGGTCAGTGTCTCAGGGATATCTGAAGAATATTCTCTTTAAGGAACACTAGTAGGTGTTCCAGTCAAAATGGTTTAGCGGCTGGGTGCAGGGACTCACACCTGTAATCCCAGCACTTCGGGAGGCTGAGGGTGGTGGTTACTTGAGCCCAGGGGTTTGAGACCAGCCTGGGTAACATGATGAAATCCTGTCTCTACAAAAAATACAAAAATTTAGCCAGGCATGGTGGCACATGCTTGTGGTCCCAGCTACTCGGGAGGCTGAAGCAGGAGGATCGCTTGAGCCTGGGAAGTCAAGGCTGCAGTGAGCCATTATCATGTCACTGTACCCCAGCCTGGGTGACAGAGTGAGACCCTGTCTAAAAAAAAAAAAGAAAAAGAAAAGAAAGAAAAGAAAAAAGGTTCAGAGAATAAAATGTTTAGGAAAGGCTGAGATAAGGTTAAACATATTTTTTCTTAAAAATACTTTTCAGACCTTTCACATAACTAATCGTTATGAATCTCTTAGATGGTGTTAAAAGGCTTTCTAGAAATTTGCCTGCGGAGTCCTTTTGTGTAGGGCATATCGGGGACCTGGGTTTCCATGGATGGCACTTTGGGAAGTGCTGGTGTAGGCATGGCAGGGCCAGGGCTGCCCCTCTTCATAATGCTGTAAAAGAGACAGGGAGCCTGCGATCGGAGCTCATAAAGCACCAGCTGTGGCACATGGAGTTGAATCAGCACCTTCCTTCCCCCACTGCTCCTTTCCCCAGCTGACTGCCCGCATATGGCTCTGTTGTGATGGTGCTACTTACATGCTAATGTTTTCCGTTCCCTAGTCTATACTTTCCAGTCCTTATGTGTGTGTCTGCTCAAGATATGGAGACCACATCCCTTTTCTGTATAGATATGAAGACCACATTCCTCTTTGTGTATAGATATGGAGACCGCATCCCTCTTGTGCCTGAGCAGAGTGGCCTGGAGCCCTTGCTCATCTGGGCTGACTCAGGGCTTTTCCACCTGAGGATGATAATGATAATAATGATGGACAAAGCTCCCAAGATGGTGCTGGGAGGGGCTGGAGAAGAGGCAGAGACACAGATTATGAGGAAAGGAGACCTGGGATCTGTGTTTTTTGCCTTGTCCCTGCACCTGCCCACTCAGGTGATTCTTCGCAGGTCACCTAGTTTCTCTGGAGTGATGTTTTTCATGTAAAAAAGAGGGATTGTTAGATGATTCATCTCTAAGGATTCTTCTACCTCCATAGTTTCCTGACTTAATATCTCTGCCAATTTCCCTGACGCTCCCTTCTAATTTTTCTCTTTTTAAAATTTTCAGCTCTTAACCATTGATGATAACTTCTGTGGCCTGGACATGAATGCCCCCCTGGGAGTGTCCGACATGGTGCGTGGGATTCCTGTCTTCACGGAGGACAGGGACCGCATGACGTCTGTCATCGCATATGTCTACAAGAATCACTCTCTGGCCTTTGTGGGCACCAAAAGTGGCAAGCTGAAGAAGGTAGGAATGAAGTGCAGTCCTTTTGGTTACTGTGAAGACAGTCTGACCCTCCTGGGCTGGAAATTATGTCTTTTCACTACCTTGGGCATGTGGGCAGGTGATACAGTTTGAGCTAAGGAGATACGCTGCTGTTGAGGTCATGAGGATCATCTTGTCCTTTCTCTGCCTCCGTGCTGAGGTTGCGGGGTGAGTGTGTGGATTCACCTCCTCCCTAGAACTGGTGTGCACATGAGAGGTGTCAGACCAGCCTTGCAGGGTTGTTCTAAATGGCACATACTGTGTTCAATTTGGGCTTGTGCCTTTAAGGCAAAGGCTTTGCTAGGTCTGAGCTGGGGAAGGTGGGCAGGGGGAAGGGACAGGTCTGTTCCGCTTGCTTCAGCCCTTCTGGCTGCTACATCATCTGGAATGCATTCAGGGAACAGAGGGAGGAAAGTGCAGACCTGTTAAAGTCACAAATGGGGCCCAGAGCCAAGTTGTGGGCTGAGAAAACCACGGGTGCAATGGGAGCATGGAAATTGCTTCTGGTGAGGTCAAATGGTATGATCTGGGGACCTGACCTTTCCCCTGCACTTTCGGAAGCTGGCAGGTTCTGGGGTCCTGGGTAATCTTGGCTCATCAGCTGCGTTGGGAGCAGTCATCCACCGAGGGATGTTCTGTGCTCAGGCTTCTCATCTCATGAGTTGGAGCTGGCCCTACAGCACATGTCCTTCTTGATTGGGTTAAAAGCCCTTCTAAGATGGTAGGCAGGAGGTCCTGTTTCCTGTTGGCCAATAATTGCATTTTAGTCCTTTCCCAGGAAATATTGGTGATTTCTTGTGGAGCTCTTGCTTGCTTTATTTTGGCTTCTCTTGGAGTTCTCTGGACATTGTGTGATTCAGATTGGGTAAAGAGGCACTGCCTGATTGAGACTGAGCCTTCATGCCTCCATTTCCCTTTGCTGTATTTCTGGCTGCTAGCTCTGGATGGTCAAGAGGAAATGTTCCAGGCATATTTAGAGGACTATGCCTATTTTACCATCCTACAGTGTAACAGCCCAGCAATCATTTCTGTTGGCATCTCTATGGACTGGTGGTGTGTCTGGAATGGGAGCATGCGGAGGACAAGAGGCGGGCACCCCAGAGTGTGTTTGTGACTTGGGAACTTGTGTGTGGAGTAATTCTATGGGTGATGATTGGGAAAGAAAACTGAACACTGGGGAAACATCATGGTACCCTGCAAGAATGGTGTCCATGAGGTACCACGCAGCCGGCGCTGCCTAGGAGGAAGTAACCGCCTAATTTGAGTGGAACGCATTCAGTGTCGCAACCAAAAACAGCAAAACACATGTTTAAGAACTGTGTTTCATAATTCATTCCAAGTAATTCTATTTCATACTTCCTTTCTGTGAAGAAAATGGTAAACACAATGGAATCTTTCCTTGCTGCCTCGGACTCCTCGTGAGTTTTGCTCACATAATGAACTGAGTTTTGTGGATGCCCAGGGAAGATGCTGCGAGGTGTGGGCATGTTGTCCCCACACAGCTCCTGTGTCTGATTGTTGCCCCCTTCCCGGGTCTTCCTCTTATGCATTTGGCCACTCATCACTTCCAGTTGCTGCCAGGAATCCTGGTTGACTTCAGCACCTTTCCTCCTCCCTCATTCTGCGACTTCCAGCTTTGGTAGGCTAGGAAACCAGATTGCCAAGCTTACTGAAATTGTGTCTGACGTCAGTCCACACTGAGGAGAGAAGTGTGTGAGCTTTTGGGTAGGGACTTCAGATGGCTCGATTCTTCAGTAGGATTCAGCAAGTTTGGTCTGCTGGAAAAGTGAATTCTAAATACAGGGGACATTACTATGTACAATTCATGCACTGAGACCTGCTTCGCCTGCTGCAATGGGTGAATGAGCACTATTGAGAGTAAATAAGTCAGCAAGGCAGTATGGGGGATGCTTTAAGTCTTTTCTCCAGTGAGCTCAATCTCAGTGCAATGGAGAAGCTAACTTCCTGCCTTGCTCTACAACAGTCCTACTCACTGAATTTCCTACCAGCTGCCAGAGGACCATTTACTAGCTGGCAGGATGGAGTAGACCCTGGATGAGGATTTGGGTACGCGTGTGTGTGTGTGTGTGTGTGTGTGTGTGTGTGTGTGTGATTGAGCTGGTTGGGCAGTGAATGTTATCAATGAAATGAACATTGAGAGTTCAGTGCACATAACAAAACAGTTATTTTCTCTTGGAAAAAGGAAGGTGTTTCCTGTCCATGGATGCATTGTAAACCCAAGACAGTCAACTTGCATTTTTGTGCTGTTGGTCCAAGGTTGGGTTGAGGCATTTGGTGGCTGGTGCTCTCTCACCCGTGGAAGCCTGTCCAAATCTGTTCCCCGACAGGGAGGTCAATCAAGTGCAGCACCGTGAGTGTGGAATCAGGACACCCCCAGGAGCCTGAGCCAGCAAGGCGCTCAGAGACGACCCTCCTGAGGCAGGTGAGGACAGAGCCCAGCAGTCAGGCAGGCAGGCAGTGACAGGCGACACACGCAACACCCCACCAAGAGCCTGGGGCTTCATAAACCGTGGCTGGCATTTCCATCTTTTACTTTGGTGGATTGATGTAAGAACAGTTCTGTTTCAGCCACCTGGGATATTCTATCTAATTTCCAGAGCAGTGGTGGGGCTGGTGAGGCATAAACGTTTCAAAGGTAAGAGCGCAAGGGTCAGTTGCGGGGAATGAGCCTTCAGTCCTCCTGGGGAAAGCCAGGCCACTGTGGGGGGGGGGGTGCGGGGGGCAAACTTTCTGCTCTGCAGGCTTGGAGTGGCAGCCTTTTAATGGTTTTGCTCACGCCCAGCTCCCATGCCTGCAGACTCAGCACAGCTGGCCCAAGGGAACAGTCTGAGTTGGGAAAGGAAGGCTGGGCCGCCGAGTCTGTTGTTTGAAATAATAAAAAGCAAAAGTGACCCGTTTGTTTATTTTTTTTCGAACAATAGAATTCCCCACCCCCGCTCACTCACTAAGCACCACTCCCCTTTCCTTGTAATAATTCCGACTCGCTTTTCCCAGAGGTTATCAGGACCACAGTCACCTTTTGGGCAGAGGCCCAGCCATGACAAGTTGTGAAACTGCAGGAGGATTTTGCTGGAAGTTTTGCAAGCAACTGAGGCCAGGGTGTGAAAATAATGGAAATCATACTGTAGCCATAATTATAGAGTTGGTTTCTCTGAGCCCTGTAATAATCTCCTGTGTGTATCAAGGCTTTACGGTATGACAAGAGACTGGAAATGGGGGTAGGTGGTCAGGAGACAGCTTGGGGGGATGCTAAGAGTAAGGGTGTTTGCTGCGGGTTTCAGGGGTCCAGGAGCTAGACTGAGCTATCTGTGGGCTGCCCTCAAAATTACTGACTTTTTATTTTGCTTGAAAGGCATGAGTCCCAATCATTTGCAACCTTGTCTTTGATGACCATGATTTCACTCCTTTGGTGCACACATCACATGAAGCAGGGGGAAAGGAGGTGAGGAAAGTACCAATTTAGATGTCTTTGATGTTTTCTGATGTGTGTGTGTTGTCATGGTATTGGCAGCCTCTTCCTGTGGTGAGCTTTAAGGGTATGTGTGTAAAGAAATATGACCTATAAATGCTACAGTCATGAGTAGGTGTCTAGGAACTTAGCAATAACCTACAGACTGTTAATATTTCCACTATAGGTAAAAATCGTAAGGCAAATGCCATCTTGACTGGCTTTAGGGCCAAGCAAACCTAAACCTTTGGCTTGAGTTGGGACAATCAGCTCAGTGTTGTCTCAGAAGCACAAGATTTCTTTGCTTGAATATTTCTGCTGAAATCCTTTCCCTCTCTCTCTTTCTCTGCCTCTTGCTTTCCTTTCACTAAGCGATCATTTTTATGGCTGCTGTTCAGTGGTGAATTACTGCCTGACATTAGTGGGAGAGACTAATGTTCATTGTGAACCAAAACATCATAAACTTCCACTTGTGGTGCGATTGCTCCTCTCGCCGGTGATTGCATCTTCCCTGGATGTTTTTGCTAGGTTAAACTGTTTACACCTAAGGGGGTGGAGCGCTGTATGGATGTTGGTTAAGTCAGGCTGGCCCTGCTATTAGCCTGTTGTAGGACATGCATCCATGTGTCTGTGCACAGACGAATCCATACCAGCCTCTCTGAGTAGGAACTGGGTGCACGTTCCCATGGAGAGGCGATAGGAGTATACAGTACAAAAATCATTCTTACTGGGAATTGTCATGTAGATTAATTTAATCTTCCTAAATTTTTTGGCTCGAGCCTGTTTTAAAATTAATTTGCTTGTGTTCCCTAGACCCTCAGCACAGGTCCACAAGGGGGAATCACCCAGGAGTGGATTGGAATGGAGGGAGACCCACCTGGGGTGAACATTGCTTCTCAGGAACAGATGCTGTGTGTGTGTCTTCAGTGCTCGAGTCACAAAGCAGTATCAGATCAGAGAGTCCAGCCCCTGCTTTGTTGTTTCCTAAATGTACCTGGGAATTCTTCCTAAAATTATTCTGGAAATTTGAATCCACTTTAACTAAAAATAAATATTCATAGCACAGAAAGCCCTGCAGATGGATGGAAGTGTCAGGAAATCAAATGGAGATACAATGTTGGAACACCAAATAGAACAGGAACCTGCGGTTAGGGCAGAGGGCATGTGTATTTGATACAGGGTTCGGTCAGGTAGTTCTGTTGTGCTACATGTTTCTCCAGCCCAAGCTGCCATGGGCTCATGTGTGATTGATCACAAGCAGAAAGGGAAAGAAATATGGAAGCATCAGGGCTGACCGATTTCCATGTCAGGAAAAGACCATCTATTTGCTATATTGTGTCTGCGTTTTCCATCCCTGGTTTTGCAAATGTTAAACCTGCATAGACCTTACCCTGTGCATTGTGTGAAGGGGAGGCTGAGGTTGAAGAGCTCCAGGCAGAAGATCCCACAGGTGTACCAGCAGTGCCACCCTCCCTCCTCTGATTTCACGTTCAACCACAGACAGATGGTATTC